TAAAAGGGGAAAGTTTCAAGAGAGTCTCTTGAAGTACCATGTTGGTAAGATGTGGGAAGGCACGGCCTTGAATTCGATCGATTTGATATAATATGTGGTTAATCGGTTAAATTGGTTTGTGTACCAAACGGACCAAACCAAACCGATTTGAACCAAATCGAACCAAACTGATATGGCGGTTGGAATAACCAAACCGGTCCAACTACCATAGGCCGAACCGATGCAATGGTTCATTATTTTAAAACGAACCAATGTGTTGGTTGGGGTGTAACCACCCATATGAAGATTCGCCTCCCTTCGTACGCACCCCTTCATTTTCTATAAATATCACCATACCCCCTCTTGTTTTAACTACGAATTTTACATGGATTTTTCTCGGTACTGAAACTCTGCCAAAATCCAAAACTAGTTTTTCTGCATTCTTTTTCAAAGAGAAAATAGAGTCAAGTGTGGTTCTCGCCGTTTCGCTGCGTTCGATGGTTTCCGGGGTTTGAGGTACCGCTACGCCGGAAAAGGTACGTCCTTTCTATCCTGGGAGGAATCATTCCACAACCTTGGGTACTTGAGGGGAATAAGATTCTTTAAGGAGAGATAGTGAATTCTATCGGCTAGGACGCTTGCATGTGTCTTTGCATGTTTTCTTAATCTTATGTGTTTGCTTGTGTTGCAAGAAAATAGTATACGTGAACAATTTTCCCAACAATCTTAAAGAATCTTAACTAGTAATTGTTCCGCGTATATTGTTTTGATTAATCGAATACTGTTGCACAATTAGGTTGCGTAATGATCACTGTGTTCGTCTCTTAGTGTTTTTTGCACCGCATGCATTTTATTTTTGAAATGAATGTTGGCGAATGCATATATAAATGAGACGTTGCAAGAATTGTTGATTTGGTGTACAAAGAAAGGAACTCAATTCTGGCGGTGCTATATAAATAATTATTCTGATCATGGGAAAAGATCCTGTACTAGAAAGTAAGGGAAAAAAAATGTACTGGCTGATGGTATAAGAAAGAAGCACTTGATCGGTTCTTATTCTGATCATGTAAGTATCCAGAGTCCCTCTTATTATACAAGCATGAATGATATATATTTGGTATATGGAATACCCATCTATGATTGGCACTCAATGGGTCCTAATGTGGACGATTTGGGCACCCTTGTGGACTCGATAGAGAAGTATGGGGGAAGAAGAGGAATTTGAGGCATCGGAGAACGAAGAGGAGTACTCCGACATAGAGACCGATGAATGCCTCTCTGATCCTGACTTCGACCCCAAGAATCCTTAGGATTCTTGTATATGTATTGTAATCTCCTTTGAGGAGTAGACATATGTATGTGTGTGTATATATGCATATGGTATTAGTATGTGTGTACCTATGTAATTCGTGTATTTACATGATGAATGAAGGACAAATGTTCTTATCTCCCAAGTGGAAAATTAGTTGGATAAAACCTTACGAGTTTGTTTGGTTCCAAAATTAACCACAAAGTTTTAATGCTTTTATTGCATTGGTCCATCTCTATTATGTGGCATGGATGAATGATAATTGTACCAATTTAATTTGGACACTTTTTCATTCAAGGTGATGCATGAGATGATGGAAGTACTTATGATAATCCTTCATGGACTCTAAGTAACGGTGGTTTGGATAGTAGTAAACTATCTAGTGGGAGAATATGAACAATCATAGGTGTGTAAAACCTATTGAGCGTGGCAAGTGGGGACTTGTGAGTCAAGTCTATCTAAGCCAGAATGGTTGCAAACGTAATGTTCATAGTATGTTGGACATAGTTTGAAAGAGTATACCTCCAATGTGTTGGAGATGAAATTTGGTTAATGCACGTTTAAGGATTGCATTACGAGAAAGCTACAAGCGATAAGGAATTCTAGTTCCTGTGATAGTTGTGAAGACATGATAATTTATTTATCGTGTATGTGGTTTAGGACTTGATGTTTCCTATGTCACGAGGGCAAGGAAAAAAAAATGAAGCTATGATTGATCCTTATAGGGATTTAATAAGCTTGCCAAATGATGGTTGTCATCAAGATAAGCATTATGTCAGAATTGTTTATGACCTATGATTATCAACGTGAAGCTCATTGACAGAATTGTTTATGGTATATATAGATATATATCATTGGAAAACAATTTGGCATGAGAGCTCAATTGAGATGATCTTATTGAACTTAAAGTCTGGATTACTTATGGTATATTTATGAAGTTTTTACCATTGGAAAGTAATTAGACAATTGAATTAGAAATTCGTTTGAATTACTTGTGGTATATCAGAGTCCCTCTTATTATACAAGCATGAATGATATATATTTGGTATATGGAATACCCATCTATGATTGGTACTCAATGGGTCCTAATGTGGACGATGTGGACACCCATGTGGACTCGATGGAGAGTATGGGGGAAGAAGAGGAATTTGAGGAATCGGAGAACGAAGAGGAGTACTCCGACATAGAGACCGATGAATGCCTCTCTGATCCTGACTTCGACCCCAAGAATCCTTAGGATTCTTGTATATGTATTGTAATCTCCTTTGAGGAGTAGACATATGTATGCGTGTGTATATATACATATGGTATTAATATGTGTGTACCTATGTAAGTCGTGTATTTACATGATGAATAAAGGACAAATGTTCTTATCTCCCAAATGGAAAATTAGTTGGATAAAACCTTACGAGTTTGTTTGGTTCCAACATTAACCACAAAGTTTTAATGCTTTTATTGCATTGATCCATCTCAATTATGTGGCATGGATGAATGATAATTGTACCAATTTAATTGGGACATTTTTTTTTTCATTCAAGGTGATGCATGAGAGGATGAAAGTAATTATGATAGTCCTTCATGGACTCTAAGTAACGGTGGTCTGGATAGTAATAAACTATCTACTGGGAGAATATGAACAATCATAGGTGTGTAAAACCTATGGTGCAAGGCTAGTGGGGACTTGTGAATCAAGTCTATCTAAGCCGGAATGGTTGCAAACGTAATGTTCATAGCATGTTGGACATAGTTTGAAAGAGTATACCTCCAATGTGTTGGAGATGAAATTTGGTTAATGCACGTTTAAAGGTTTGCATTACAAGTAAGCCATAAGTGATAAGGAATTCTAATTCCTAAGATGCTTATGATGACATAATAATTTGTTGATTATGTATGTGGTTCAGGACTTGATATTTCCTATGCCACGAGGGCAAGGAAAATGAAGCTATGATTGATCCTTAAAGGGATTTAATAAGCTTGCCAAATGATGGTCGTCATCAAGATGACTATGATTATCAACGTGGAGCTAGTTACCAGAATTGTTTATGGTAAATATAGATGTATATCATTGGAAAACAATTTGGAATGAGAGCTCAATTGAGATGATCTTATTGAACTTAAGTATGGATTAATTATGGTATATTTATAAAGTTTATACCATTGGAAAGTAATCAGACAATTGAATTAGAAATTCGTTTGAATTACTTGTGGTATATCATGTTACGTATATGACATGTCATTGGAAAGTAATTAGATGGGATTTCCATTACTGGAATGCATCTGAATTACTTATGACGTCTCAAGTTGCCTTGATCAATACCATTGGTAAGTAATTGGATGATTTTTCTAATAAAATCTGAATTGTTTGTGGTATGCTAATCGAGTGAGATCATACCATTGATAAACAATTAGATACATATAGTGGTTGGCAAGTTCAATAAGTAAAACCATGAAAAATAAATGGGATTATTCCATGATGTTTGGCAAAGAGTAGAATTGTGGGGGAGAAGAGCCTATTGTTTCGGCTACTATCTCAAGACCCTACAATGGGACGCAAACCTATTCATAAGACAAAAGTGGAAAGGTAAGCGAAGTCATACTTGAAAGTATGAAGGTGTCACTTGAGAAAGTGAGAGTCCTTAAACCTTGTGGAGTTAACCCAGTCCAAGGGTATAACTTATGAGTAAACTCTAGCATATATTGACGTTATGTCAGAGGCTAGAATATTTATTGATGTTGATCCACTCTTCCCAAAGAGATGATTTTGACCATATACATGAATGTATACGAACAACATTCCCCAAACCGGAAACGTTGGTTTCAACAACTATGGCGAAATAGTTGAAATGTGGGGGATAAATTGGGGAGAAGTGATGTGGAATGTCGCTTGGGTGATTCCAAAGTGAAGGATGTGAGTACTTAGGAGTTTTACGTAAACCCTAAGCTAAGTCATAAATGTCACTACATTTGAAGAGATACTTGTGAAGTTTAAGTACTCGAAGATTAATGAAGTAGAGAGACTTCAACACCGTTGGCATGTGTTATGATTATTGCAAGGCAATAAAATCAAGGCAAACACACATGATGTGTAGTGAATCAAAAGAGACGAGTCTTTGGTGAATTTTACCCAAAGGAACTCACTGGGTGAACCAAAAGCCATAGTCCATTAATGGATAGGCATTTATGGTTAACGAGGAGCAGTATCTTGGAAAACGTCTAAGTTAAACTCTAAGACCGGTGAAGTTTAATAGTCTAGCCCGCATAGACTGGCGTTAATAAACGCACTTGTGCACAAAATGGTTATTGCAAGTGTAACACCCCACCCTAAAATTCATGGGTCGAACCACTGGTTCGCCCGCACAGCAGAAAATACTAACGGGGTTTACGTATTAACTCATCATTCAACACATATGCAACTTTCGTTTACTAAACATAACTCGAGGTGAACATATATATATATTTCAAATCTAACGCGTTTATTAATATCCAATCTCATTTATTAAACATACAACATCCAACTCATGACATCAAATCCAAACCCTTGTTCGTTGAAACTCAAATCTCCATCTTACATACTTTGGTACAATCCATAAATCATAATAACTCAATTGATCAAGTTCGATGCAATCAAATCCAACATAGTACATGTTTATGATACTTGGTTTAAAAACACAAAACATAGTTAAAACTCTCCTCCGACCAATCGTCCGCTACCTCATGATGGAGTAGCAGTTGCACAGCTCCAACGTCCAAGCTCAGTCCCTCTGCTGCGGATCTGAACACAAAAGGGGAGTGGGTCAGCTAACTAATTTAGCTGGTGTGTGGCGCTGTTCCCTCCTACACGGCGAAGTCTATGGATACGTTTTTCCACAACAATCGATTAACCACCTAATCATGGCATCTAGGTTGAAGTCTTAACCTAGTATAATTCTCAACCTAGCATCCAATCTCCAAACAATATGCAAGTGCAATGCATTTCCATTTTATTAATTTGGGCGCCAAGGTCACCATACATCCACCCCCGCTCGAGCCTCATCATCTCAGTGGTTATATCAGAAACCACAATCGTATCTCTCTGGCCACTGGCCTCATCGATCCTAATGATCATCAGTAACGATATCAAATGGTTGGGGGTAGATGCAGGCCCTTTCTATGTCTATGTGATTAATATGAACATCATATAAAATCATCATTCTCATCAAAATCTCGATATAATAATCATCCATCTCAATCGATCTTGGTTTAATTACCAAGTCCATGCCAAACGTTAATTTGTACATCTCATGCATACGATAAAATTATCATATCATCCATTCAATCATCGAGTAGAAATTCATTCGCAACCATTTATTGTTATCGTACATTCAACGTATAAGGTGGACGGTTTGAATCCTCGTACATGGTTCGTTAACCATTTAATCGGTGAATCACCGAGTAATTTGAAAGGCGGACCTGCCGTGGTAAAACTCCGAGAAGAGGAATGAGTGCCACTACTCGTAGTACACTTCTTACAACCATATTCCCAAAAGATTTCACCGGGTGAATTCCCAGGTAAGTGGACGAGTACCACGAAGGTCTCGATTAAAAACCACTAGCCTAGACAGAATTCTCCCATGGTAGCTGTCCATCATTCAAATTATTACGAATTCGTTCGTGGTTTAATGGTTATCCCAAGTAGTCTTATTAGGGACATTATTATATCGTAGGCGGAATTTCACATAACTCATGGCATGAAATCACGTCATGAATTATTGAAATAGTAACAACGTAGTCTCAAGGAATTTCACGACTCGTAGGGATCAATTACAAAACCGTAAATTCCAAATACTCGATTATGAATCATCCAATTCTACTCGAGTATCAAAATCATAATAACGACATTCTTCATTTTATCTTCATTAAATCCTCAACTATGTTTCAATATTAAACACATAGCACGTAGTAAAACACCGCCTATTCACCGCAGGGTCCACACACCTTATTTATGACGTAATTCAACTCTGCACAGCTGCTGTAAAAATCCCAATACTCCTTGATAAAATTCTCCTCGTCTTTACGATCCTGTAGGCGAAAACGGTTCGTCGTTTGGACGTCAAACGAACAAATTATGGCCAAAATACGAATTCTGTCAGTTCTGGAAGTAACAGGTACTGAATTTATAATTTTCTGGTCAACCAGAGAGTTGACCCTTCCTATGGAAAACGTCCGCTCAGGTCCTCAAACTTTTCGAATTGACAGAAACAGTACCTGACTTTCAGAAACTGACAGTTCTACGTGGCCAACTTGCGAGGCTCGTTTCTCCCTCGTCCGACGTCGAAAATTGATTCCGTCGAAACGTGCGTGCTCCTGGGATCGCCCTCTTTGCAACGGTACCCACCAATCACAGAATGGTTGAGGTCGGAGTTGACGTCGTCGCCGTCACGGGATACGAACGAAACTCCGGCGAGGCTCCGACAAGGCTCAACGACGCTTCTAGCTTCGTGGGAGACCTCCCCAGACCTCTATGGCGAACTCCCAAACCCAGAACACCCAGAAACTCTCCTTATCTCTCTATTTCCCTCCCTTCCTTTAGTTGGGACTTATGGTCGTCATACGAGTTTTGGTTCTATATATATATACACAACCACCCAGTCATCCATTACTTCTTAGACAAAGTTGCTGTTGAGTATTAACTCCAAATCCAATCTCAAATTTCACAGCTCATGAAAATGGTGGGTCAATGTTGTCTTTCCTTTAAAAAAAATCAAACTAAAAGAAGAGAGAACGTGGCCCTCTTCCTTCCTTGCATTTGCATATGTAGGAAAGATACTGCTGTCCATTTGCTTTTAACCCATAATGGGTTCTTTACTTTGTGGACAGAGACCACATACAGGGAACTTCGTTCCTTTCTTCAGAATTTGATCTCGTCAGGTAATAACTAACAACATTTACTTATGAGACTTACACATAAGTAGTGTGCAGCCCAACTGGTAAATGGTGATGATTGTGTCCTTTAGGTTGCTGGTTCGAATCCAGGTGGTGAATATATTTTTTTATCACTTCAGAATCTGCCAACGCCTGAGCTTACTAGTTCGTATTTTCGCCCCCACCATAATTCCTTCATTCCATATTTATTTTCTCGATTTATCACATCTTAAATTGATGAGTACTCATAGTTCTTCCAAACCAGTATAATTCATTCCAACTATTGTTGGTGTTCTTTGTTCCAACTTCAAACCGGTTGATGATAGATTTAACCCAGATACGGGATGTTACAACTCTCCCCTCCTTAAATGGATTTCGTCCCCGAAATCAAATAGTATAATAAAAGTCTCTTCTAACTTTTTATTCATAAATTCGATACATTATTGACATTGTCGATTTAATACAACAAGCATTAATTGGGAGGTATATTCGTAGAGTATACTTCGACTAACTCAGGGTATTTCTTCATCATACTTTCTTCAGTCTCCCAAGTTGCCGCTTCTCCTTCGTGGTTTCTCCAAATGACTTTAAGCATCGGAATGCGCTTGTTCCTCAGAACTCGTATCTGTTGGTCAACGATACTCACTGGCCTCTCTTCATAGGTCAAGTCGGGTTCTAGGACCACATCTTCTTGTTGTATGATATGAGAGGGATCCACGTGATACTTCTTCAACATACTCACATGAAAAACATTGTGAATCTTCTCCAACTCAGTAGGTAACTCCAGTTTGTAAGCTACCGGCCCAATTTTGGCAATAATGTCATAAGGGCCGATGTAGCGAGGTGCCAACTTCCCCTTTTTTCCAAACCTCATTAATCCCTTCCATGGTGATACCTTTAGGAACACCTTTTCTCCCACATCATAACTTACTTCTCGAGCTCTCCCGTCGGCATAAAGTTTCTGGCGATCTTGAGCTACTCGTAGTCTCTCTTTGATCACTTTGACCTTATCAGTAGTTTCCTGAATCATTTCAGGTCCGGAAAGAACTCGAGTGCCCTCTATATCCCAACATAGAGGTGTTCGGCACTTTCTGCCATAAAGTGCTTCAAAAGGAGCAGCCTGAATACTACTGTGGTATGAGTTATTGTAAGCAAACTCTACCATCGGTAGTAAATCAGTCCAAGTTCCTTCCACTTCCATCATGCAAGTTCGTAAAATTTCCTCTAGAGTTAGGATCGTCCTTTCCGATTGACCGTCTGTCTGGGGATGATATGCAGTTGAGAAGTTGAGTTTTGTCCCCATTGCTTCATGCAAGCTCTTCCAGAAGTGGGAGGTGAAACTAGGATCTCTATCTGACACAATGGATATTGGTACTCCATGTAACCGCACCACATGTGCTATGTAGAGTCTCGCTAGTTCCTCCATGCTTGGCTTAAATCGAATTGGGATGAAGTGGCTGACTTTTGTCATCCGATCCACAATTACCCAAACAGCATCTTTACCACTCCTGGTGGGTGGAAACCTAGTCACAAAGTCCATTGTGATCTTCTCAAACTTCCATTCTGGTAAGGGCAGTGGTTGCAGGAGTCCAGCCGGGGCACGATGTTCAGCTTTTGTCTTTTGGCATATAAGACATGATTGAACATACTCCGCAACTTCTCGTTTCATTCCGTGCCACCAAAAGTGTGGTTTGATTGTATTATACATTTTTGTCATCCCCGGGTGCATGGCATACAGAGAGGAGTGTGCTTCCTCCAATATATCTCTTTTTAACTCCTTCACTTTTGGTACCCACATTCGTCCATTCATTTTGAGTATGCCATCTTCCAACACATACCCGTTCCCATTGCCTGCTTCAATATTCTCTCGTGCTTTTATGCACTCTGGGTCTTCTAATTGCCCCATCTTGATTCGATCGTGCAACATCGGTCGAATACTTAGATGTGCAACCAGGGTGGTGATATCCTCAACTTGCATCTCCACACCCAGGGCCCTCATCTCCACTAGAGTTGGTAATCTTTCTCTTCGACTCAAAGCATCAGCAACAACATTCGCCTTACCGGGATGGTAATCGATTGTGCAGTCGTAGTCTTTGAGTAACTCTATCCATCGCCTTTGTCTACCATTCAACTCTTTTTGATCCATGAGATATTTTAGACTTTTGTGGTCGGTCATAATTTTGAAGGTCTCACCATAAAGATAATGCCTCCATAATTTCAACGCAAACACCACAGCTGCTAATTCCAGATCATGAGTTGGGTAGTTCACTTCGTGTGGCCTTAACTGTCTCGAGGCATAAGCAATTACTTTCCCATTTTGCATCAGCACACAACCCAAACCTTGATACGAAGCATCACTATAAACGACATACTCCCCTCCTTCTACTGGCAATGTCAGTATAGGGGCAGAAGTAAGCTTCCGTTTAAGTTCTTCGAAACTCTTCTGGCATTCTTCCGTCCAGACATATCGGGTTTCTTTCCTCAACAATTTTGTCAATGGTGAGGCTATTTTGGAGAAACCTTCCACAAATCGGCGATAGTAGCCTGCCAATCCCAGAAAGCTACGTAACTGTGGTACGTCTTTGGGTGGAGACCAGTTTACTACTGCTTCAATCTTTTTGGGGTCTACTTCTACTCCTCTTCCCGATACCACGTGTCCCAAGAATAGAACTTCTTGGATCCAGAATTCACATTTTGAGAACTTGGCATACAACTTCTCTTCCCGTAGAGTCTGTAATACCATCCTCAAATGCTCTGCATGTTCTTCCTCACTCTTTGAATAAATGAGGATGTCGTCGATGAATACTATGACGAATTTGTCAAGGTATTCATGGAAAACTTTGTTCATGAGAGCCATGAATACTGCTGGAGCATTTGTGAGTCCAAATGGCATGACAAGAAATTCATAATGCCCATATCTTGTCCGAAAGGCAGTCAACGGTATTGTACTTTCTTCCACTTTTAGTTGATGATACCCAGATCTCAAGTCAATTTTGGAGAAGACCGAGGCCCCTTGTAATTGATCGAAAAGATCGTCAATACGAGGTAACGGGTATCGATTCTTGACCGTTGCTTTGTTCAACCTTCTGTAGTCTATGCACATTCGCATAGAGCCATCTTTCTTCTTCACGAACAAGACTGGTGCTCCCCAAGGGGAAGTACTTGGTCGTATGAACCCTTTGTCTAACAGTTCTTGCAACTGTTCTTTGAGTTCTTTTAGTTCTACTGGCGCCATTCGGTATGGTGGAATTGAAATCGGAGCAGTACCAGGTACTAACTCGATGTTAAAATCCACCTCTCGTTCTATGGGGACTCCGGGGAGATCATCAGGAAATACATCCTGAAATTCATTTACGACCTTGACTTCCTCCAGCTTTTCCTCATTCTTTGTCTCCACTTGGACGAGGAATGCTTGACATCCTTCTCTCACCAAAGCGTATGCTTCCATCGCCGAGATCAAGCCCATTGGTTTGGACTCTCTCCTTCTTAAGCCTTGGAACACGATTTGTCTTCCAAGTCCGTCAAATAGACGTACCTCCTTCTTCTGGCAATCCAACACAGCTCCGTGTCGAGATAACCAGTCCATGCCAAGTATGACATCAAATTCGTTGAAAGGCAGGATGATTAATTCTGCCTCCAATTTTACTTCTTCTATCTTAATACAACAATTAGGCAGAATTCGATCTACCCTTACTGAAGTACCCAGAGGTGTTCGTACACCTAGACTGGTACTCAGTGTTCCCGGCATAATAGGAAATTTTGATGCGCACTTCTCCGATATGAAGGAGTGCGAAGATCCAGTATCGAATAATGCATATAAATTCTGGCCCATAAAAGAGATCGTACCGGTGACCACATCTGGAGCGGTCTCAGCAGCACCACGAGTAAGAGCAAAAACTCTGCCCTGTGATTGTGTCCCAGCTCCTTGTCCTCCTGTTTGGGACCCTTGTTTTCCCAGCGGGTAAGCATTTGCTCCAGTCCCTCTAAAGTTGTTGTTGCCACCTTGACTTCCTCTTCTTGTCCCGCTCCCAGACGGAGCTCTCGGTCCTTGCACAGATCCCACTGACTGCGTAGGTGCAGCACGACCGGAAGGACATTGATAACTCTTGTGTCCGGGTTGACCACAAGTGTAGCATACAATACCCATAGATTGGGACGCCATTCTGCACGCCCCCATGTGCATCCTCCCGCAAACTTGGCAAGGCGGGTATCCGGCAGGTCCAGTGTTGGCACGTGTAGTTGAACGTGCAATGCCTTGCCCGCTGTAGGTTTGGTTTAACCTT